GTGGAGATGGAGGAGCGGAAGGAGAAGCGGGAGCTGCGGCTCCTGAAGGAGACTGCCCTGGTCCRGGACAAACTGAGCGGGGGTGAGAACACAGAGGCAGCGTGCCACAAACGGAAACAAGCCAAGAACCACCAGGAACTACCAGACAAGAAGCTTAARACAGTGAACTGAGAGACAAGGCTGGGAATGCTCTGCTCTGAGAGGGAAGCYCTCCGCAGGCCTCGGGAGCGTGCTGGCCTCGGTGCTGCCAGCACTGCTGGAAAGGGGCTGGCCTGGGCATCTGGGTTTGCTTGGTCATCATGGACCTCCCTGAGCTGCAGCTCCCATGGGTTGTCAGCAGCACTGGTCCTTGKAGAGACAGGATCTGCCCAGAGAGCTCCTGTCTGGGGGCTCACCAGTCCATGGGGCGTTTGTCTTTTAACCAAAAATTCTTCTCTCTGAACTGTTTTAATGTTAGGGTTTATGCTGAAAGGTATTGATAATGTAACAGCAGCAGGTGTGACCTTTACAAGAGATCAGGTGTGAGAGGCCCTGGAGGGGGCTGTGGGTTTGCCAGAAGAAGGTGAGCAGGTCTCAGTGATGAGGRTATAGCCAGCTATCAGAACCCAGGTGATGGAAGGGAAATTACGATACARTGAGACCCAATTTTAAGGTTCTAGGTTAAAACCAGGGGTGAGAATACATCTATACATCAGTGTTCCCATTTTATTTTGGTTTTCTCTGATTTTTTGTTTCAAAAGATCAGTTTTCCAAACCCTTTATTTAGAATCTGAATAAACCACTTGCCATCCTCCAGAAAACTGTGTTGTGTCTTGATCACTAATGAGGAAACAAAAACCTGGATTTCTCAGGAAAATGACCTTGGCTGGCTGATTCAGCATTGGGGTAAAGACCAAGATCTTACCCATCAGGTCGGGATCATGCTGGRGCCTCATGGCTGTGTTTCCTGCCTCTCTGTCTGTTACCATCAGGACAGGAGTTTTGCTTGTCACTCCCAGATGGCACTATCGGGCTCTTGAATGTCTCTGGATCAGATGACTGGGACTTTCCTCAAGCAGATCCCAGTGCTTGATGAAGAGGACAGGAAAGCTGGCAAAGCAGATCGAGACRGGGGAGGTCTGTGGTTAAGAGGAGYTTTTTTCTGAGGCTTTTTGTGGGCMAGCTTTGCTTCTTCCCTTGCCACTGCTGTCACCGCCTGTGTTTGGAAGCAGGAGGGGCACTCTGCTGTTGAAATTAAGGAGTTCATTTTTGGAGGCAACTTGAAGTCTCCCAGCCCTACTCAGGAGATGATACTTGTATACAAGGAAAGACTTAAGGCTTCATTTTAAGTTAATGGAAAATTAAGAGACAAGCTGTCAGCAAAGCCTCTTTTGTTGACAAGCTCTGCTTTCATGTGCCTGTCTAAAGCAGAGACTGGGGCATGGAYACATCTGTGTCATYCAGAAAAKCTCTGCTGGGCTTTTATGRAGAGGAGAGGACTGGGGGRAAAYGGAGCAAGTTCCYRTTAYTGGACAAGTGGAGRCAGGAGCAGGTTGGGGTGCCCAGGRCWGGACCTGGTTAGTGCTGGGCTCACAGAAGCAGATCTGGGACTTAACAGGATCTGTGTGCTACTTTTCATGCAATTAATGAAGGGTCTTTTATTTGGAAAATAGTGAACTGCTTCTCACAGAGRGTGTTAATAAAATGGAAATCCAGCAGGGGCAAGAGCCCACAGCCCCCAGGTTTCAGCTTTAGGTGGTTGATGCGTGTGCAGCACGAGGTGGAGATGGACGGGACGTGCAAGTGCCCGGTGTGGAAAAATTGTCCCGGGCTGTGTTCGGAGCTTCCCGCGGAGCGACCCGGGCTGGACAATTGCTTCTGGGGCTCCACAGCGGTGCCCTGGAGGCGCTGCGGGAGGGAGGCGACAGCGCTGGGACCGCCCCCGCATCCCGGCGGGACCCGGGGGCGGCTCCCGGGAGTCCCCTGGGCAACGGCCGCTCCTCCTCGCAAACACACGGCGGAACCGGGCGCATGGAGCCCGAGGGTGAGCGCGGGGCGGCGGGGCCGGAGCAGCCCCCGGAGCAGCCCCCGGAGCAGCCGTACGAGGCGCGGCTGGCGCGGAGCGCGGCGCTGGCCCTGGCCGTGCCCCCGGAGCGCTGG